AACTCCCATTGCTTCTGTTGCTCTGTCTTAATGTCTGCCCGATAATACAGCCTTGCAGGTAAGTGGGAGTTTACCAGCCTGCCCCTGTTTCTTCTATTTCATTTCCCCCCAAGGAACCTGATGCATCAGGCCACCTCTAATCTCACCCCCTTTTAATTTTTTTTTTTTTTTGAGAGGTTTTGCTATAGGGCACGTGCGTTTGTCAGAAAGACAGAGAGACAGAAAGTGAGAAATCATCCCCCAGGGGGGTTGGCCACTCCGCAATCCCTTCTCCTCCATTCTTCTCTAGGGATCTTGGGCACGCATGCACATGCGCCCAGCCTGAGTTTAAGCCAACGGGTCCGGGACTCAAACCACAGTCGACTACATGGGAGTCCAGTGACATAGCCATGATGCCAACTGCTCGTCCCTCACCACCTTTTATCTTTTCCCTGTTCTCCTTCACTTTCCTGCAGCCAGACGGTCCCACCGGATGCGGCGACACCATCACCACCACCAACACCACCACCAGCATCACCACCACAAATCGCGCAAGGAACGCAGAAAACACAAGAAACACCCAGCGGAGGACTGGGAGAAGGACCAAGGGAATTTCTGCTGAAGCCCCCGGCGAAAGAAAGCACAACCCCCTTCCCACACCTCCTCCGGAGCCTTCACCTGGGGAGACAGAGCCCAGAATGAAACAAGAGGGTCCCAAATCCCTGAGCCCCCAATGCATCCCTACCCAACACAACCCTTTGTAAAAATGTCCTCTCTTTCTTACAAACACAAGGTCCTCTTGGCTGACCTAGCCACGTGTCTGAAAAGTCCATTCTCATCAGGCTGAACTCTGGGAACGTCTTCCAACTGAGAGAAGCACAACGGGGCCACGAACACTCTGTAATCGGTTGAATCTTTTGTTTGCCGGGCTGATCGCCAGGGGTTGAAATCGTTGATGAGGGTGCAAGCGTGTATGTGTGGATTCGCACCGCAGGATTGCAGTTCACACTGGGGATTCAGGCTCAGTCAATGGTTGGCTCTCCTGACTCCAGCGTGAAGCCCTTCCTGAAAGTCATCATCTGCCTTGAGAGTCAGATTAAGCAGAAGCACACTGCTAGAACTCCATCACGTCTCTTCCTTCACCTTGAACTTCAGCCCAGGTTCAGTCTTTGGTCTTGGTGGATCAACCTAGCCGGGAACCCCCATGTACTGAATTTTAGGGGATGTTTTCAGAGCAGTCCTCCCATGTCCTCCCAGTCAGTGGTGGGAATAATCAGCAATATGTAGATGATAGGGAGGGCAAGTGTATTGCTTACCCTCCCAGGTCTAGGCAAGTGTTGAGATTTAGTGGTTCCACGTGTGAGATGACTCCGTCTCGTGCACACAGATGAGAGGATATTTGGGGCTAGACGAGCCCAGATTTCTTATCCCCTCCATCTCTCAGGGAGACAAAGAACCTCCTTTCTGGACCAAGGAGGTGCCAAGTTTTCTAGCCCAGTGCCTCCCATACCCAGCCTTCAAGCAGATATTGGTAATACCCTTGCCCTGCATCCCCCACTCCCCCACCTGAACCCCAATCCCTGTCTCCAGCAATTTGCCTGGTAGACTAGAAATGCTTAAAACTTGAAGTAGTGACACCTACCTGTGGTCATATTGTGCAGAGATGTGCAGTGTTAAAGCCGAAATTTGCACGCGCGCGTGCACACACACACACACACACACACTTTTCTAATACCTTTTAATTCTTTGAATGAGAAAGAACCCTTCCTCACTTAATTTGCCCCCTTTTTTTTTTGAGAGAGAGGTTTTTTTTGTTGTTGTTAAAAGGTGCGTGTACTCACTAGAAAGACAGAGAGAGACAGATAGACAGCGAGAAATCACACCCCAGGGGGATGGCCATGCCGCAGTCCTGTCTCCTCCATTCTCCTCTCGGGATCTTGGGCACGCCTGCATACGTGCCCGGCGTGAGTTTAAGCCACCAGGTCCGGGACTCAAACCGCAGTTGATTATGTGGGAGTCCAGCAACATAGCTGTTATGCCAACTGCTGGTCCCTAAATTTGTCATTTGTAAGTGACCTCCTCGATCCAAGGGCCAGGATCTAGCCCCTGATCTCAGGCAAGGAAGATCTATAGCTTTTCCTCCACATAACTAAGAAATGTGTTAATTGATCTTATATCCCTTCTGGGAAGGAGTCACCCCAGCTGACAACTACATATCATACTGCTGACTTACTGTCTTCTTCTTCTTTTTTTTTGGAGAGATTTTTGCTATAGAGCGCGTGCACTCACCAGACAAAGAGAAACAGACAGAAAGCGAGAAATCACCCCCCAGGGGGGATGGCCACGCCGCAATCCCTTCTCCTCCATTCTCTTCTTGGGATCTTGGGCACGCACGCACACGTGCCCGGCATGAGGTTAAGCCACTGGGTACGGGATGCGAACCACAGTCGACTACATGGGGGTCCAGCGACATGGCCATTATGCTAACTGCTGGTCCCCGTCTTCTTGAATCTTCTCAATAGTCCAGTGACTTAGAAACTCTTTTTTTTTTTTTTTTTTTCATTTTCTACATGTTAAAGCGGAGGCTCAGATATAAGCAATAGTCTTTAGCTCAAAGTTGCAACCCAGGAGCTGGCAGATGGTGTAGTGGTTAAGGGTACTGGACTTCCACATGGCCTACTGCAGTTTGAGTCCCGGACCTGGTGGCTTGCTTTTTCACTTTCTCTCTTGGTGTTCTCTCTGTCCCTTTCTGGTCAAAAATTTTAAAAAATAAATAAATAAATAAAATAATTTTTTGGAGAGGTTTTTGCTATAGGACACATGTGCTTGCCAGAAAGACAGAAAGAGACAGAGAGAAATCACCCCACAGAGGGAGATGGCCACGTTGCAATTCCTTCTCCTCCATTCTCCTCTCGGGATCTTGGGCACACACGCACATGCGCCTGGTGTGAGTTTAAGCCACTGGGTCCGGGACTCGAACCGTGGTCAACTACATGGGAGTCCAGTGACATAGCCATTATGGAGAGAAGGAGAGAGACAGAGAGACAAAAACCCCCAGAAAATCATCATCACAATCCTTTCTCCTCTTGGGATTTTGGGCACATACGCACAAGCATAGTTTCAAGTTGCCAGACCTGGGACTCGAATTGCAGTCGATTATGTGGGAATCCAGTGACATAACCATTATACCACCTGCTGGTCCCAAGTTATTGCTTTTGATTCTTCTTCTGTGATTTACTTTTCTTCAAAGCACTGATTACTACTTGAAATTATTCTGTATATGTATTTGTTTACTTCCTTTTCTTTCTTTCTTTCCTTTTTTTTTTTTTTAAGAGAGATTTTTGCTGAGATTTTTAGAGAGTTTTTTTAGAGACAGATAGAGAGAAAGTGAGAAATCACCCCCCAGGGGGAATGGTGATGCTTCAATCCCTTCTCCTCCATTCTCCTCTCGGGATTTTGGGCACACACGCACATGCACCCACTGTGAATTTCAAGCTGCCGGGTCCAGGACTCAAACCATAGTGGACCATGTGGAAGTCCTGCACCCTAACCACTATGCCACAATGCCCCCTCTTTTCTTTTCTTCTTTTCATTACTTTTTGTTCCCCCTTTTCTCTTCTCTTTTTAATTTGTATGGGACATATATGCTTACCAGAGAGAAATACAGAGAAAGAAAGTGAGAAAGCATCCCCCCCCCGGCGGGAGGCCAATTCTCTTCTTGGGATTTTGGGCATACATTCACACACACCAGGTGTGTTTCTTAAGCCACCCACTCTGGGTCTTGAACCATAGAGACAGCCATGTGAGATCCAGTCTCCTTAACCACCAAGCCACCAGGTGGTGGCTGGAGAAGTTCCAAACTGGACCCTTACCCTTTTTTCTCACTAGGTTTCCCAAGCTGTCCTTGAACTCACAATCCTGCCTCTGTTTCCAGGGTAGCTGGTAGAGGTGTGTATTACCAGGCTGTGCTTCTGTTTCTTTTATTCTTTTTTTTTTTTTTAGAGAGAGACATTTTTGCTACAGGAGTTGTGCGCTCGCCAGAGAGACAGAGAGATAAAAAGCGAGAAATCAGCTCCAGGGGGGGGGATGGCCATGCCACAATCCTTTCTCCTCCATTCTCCTCTCGGAATCTTGGGCATGCATGCACACGCACCTAGCCTGATTTTCAAGCTGCCAGGTCTGGGACTTGAACCCCAATCAATGACGTGGGAGTTCAGTGATGTAACCATTACGCCATCTCCTGGTCCTGCTGAGCTCCTGTTTCTGACTCTAACTGTTGCTCTGTGCTTCAGGGGTAGAGAGAGACACGTGACCTCTCTGTCGCTCTCACACACACACAGGCAGATTTAGGAAGTGGTTGGGGAGTGCGAATGGTACTCTTACCCTTAACTCTGGTCTTGAGTCGTTCCTGCTAGAGACTTCATTTCCCAGTCTTTTCTTTTTTTTCTTTTGTGAGATTTTTGCTATAGGGTGCGTCTGCTTGCCAGAGAAACAGAGAGACAGAAAGCGAGACATCAACCCCCAGGGGGGATGGCCATGCTGCAATCCCTTCTCCTCTTGGGATTTTGGGCACACAAGCGTATGCATCTGGTGTGAGGTTTTTTTGTTTTGCTTTTTTGTTTGTTTGTTTGGAGAAGTTTTTGCTATAGAGTGCATGCGCTCACCAGAAAAATAGCCACAGAGAGACAGAAAGCGAGACATCAACCCCCAGGGGGGATGGCCATGCTGCAATCCCTTCTCCTCCATTTTCCTCTTGGGATCTTGGGCACGCACGCACACGTGCCCAGCATGAGTTTAAGCCACTGGGTCCGGGACTCGAACCATGGTCCACTACATGAGAGTCCAGCGACATAGCCATTATGTCATCTGCTGGGCTCCATGGTGTGAGTTTTAAGCTGCTGGGTCCGGGACTCGAACCGTGTTTGACTATGTGGGAGTCCTGCAACATAATCTTTATACAATCTGCTGGTCCCTCACTGTTCTTTCTACTGGTTGTTATTGAGAAAGAACAGAGATTTAGGTTTGCTGTCTTTATTAACTCATCTTGGTTTTAAAAAATTAATAATAATAATAATAATACATCTTCATCATCCACGTCACAAAAGAACTTTCCTTTGTTTTGGGGAGGGGCTGTGATGCAACCTTTTTTTGGGGGGAGGGTCTCAGTTTATACTCCCTGTCCCTGAACCCCTTAACCCCTACCCCTGCCTCTTCCTCAGTTCCATGGTGGGAGGGGGTCCTGGTCTTTTCTAAACTGGGTGATCTGTCTTTCGATCTTTCCCTTCGGAATGTGCGTGTGTGTTTGCGTGTGCCACGTGCCTGGCATGCGTGTGAGTGCGTGTGCGCGTGAACAGCCTTGGGTCCCGCTGGCTTTGCTGTGAGCTGCAATATTCCGTGGGTCTGTGGTCTCTGACACTGTGGACATTAATGTACTTCTTGAACATTTTAATAAATTTTTTTAACAGTTCCTCCTGTCTCCCCCGACACCTTTGTTCATGGAGTCACTCAGCACGTATTTACTGAGCAGCTGTTATGAACCATGTTCTTTCTTTCTTTCTTTTTCTTTTTACTTATTTTTTAATAATTATTTATTTAATTTTATTTATTCATTCACTTACTTTAATTTGACCAGAGAGAAGGGAAAGCGAGAAAGCACGCCACCAGGTCCTGGACTCGAACCACGCTCAACCATGTGAGAGTGTC